CCGGCCCGCGCGCCCAGCGGGACGGAGCCCCCGGCTCCCCCCGAGGAGGGGACGGCAGAGGAGCAGGGCAGCCCCCCGGAGAGCAGCCGGGCTGCCGAGGGGCAGCAGGGAGCCGAGCCCAAGGGGGAGGATGCAGAAGCCGTGGGGAGCAAGGAGGAGGAGGAGGAGAAGCAGCCGCAGGGGGAAAGCCACGGGGATACAGCCAAACCAGAGGAGCCCTCCAAACCCGCGGGGGCTGAGCCCACAACAGCTCTGGAGCAGAAGGAAGAGTAGAGCCCACTTGGCATCGTCCTCACTTTGAGACTCTTACACCATCCTCTCCATCCCATAATCCCACAGACTCTGCCATGCCCACACACCACCCCAGCCCACCTAGAACTGACACCACTTTCTAAAACCAACCCCACCTGCCCCCTCTCCCCATCAAGTTACTTCTTCCCCCACCCCTGTTAGGAAGCTGGTTTGGATTCACACCACCACCATTTGGAGCAGTTTTACCTGAATCCTTTCAAACTGTGGAGGAAGACTCTCCTGGACATAACTGGAATTTACAGTTCATGAGAACCCAGATCTCCCAGCCCACTCTGGTCTCTGCTGGTTTGACTGGTCCCCTCTCCTCCCAGCAGCCTTCGAAGCCCAACAAGCCAGTGACTGTTCAATGGATTCTTTTCTTTTTTTTCCCCCCCACTCAGTTTACATTCCTGGTTCTGACTTTTCATTTAAAGTCTTTTGTGCTTTTTATAGAAATCAATGGTTTAAAAGCTAATCTGGTTAGGATTTTGTTTTAATAATGTCTCACTATTGGCTTGAAACCATAAAGCTTGTAAGTCCGCTGTGTTTAATTCTGCTTCTGAGGGACAACTTTTAGGGTGTGGGGTGGAGGGAGGGGGCCTGCCAGCTATATAATGTGAAGCAACATTTGTTTTCTCTGTAAATAATTTTTTTAATGGCCAAAACCACTTGATTTGCAATTTTCTAACTTCTAAAAAAAAAAGGAAAAAAAAAAAAGGGAAAAAAAAATAAAAGAGCTGTATGGGCTTTATTGTAACATTTGAAAGGAATAAATGGTGACCCCTTCATGGGTGAGCTCGAGTCCTTCTTGTCCTGGATGCCAGACCAGGGAAGATAGAGCAGTTGCTTATTTAGTTCAACAGCTGCTGTGTTTAATCACCCCAGCCCTGGCTCTGCTCACAGTTAATTGACTTGCAGCAGATGTAGAGCTACAGCCACAAAGGACTTTCTCACACAAGCCTCTTGTCACTACCTCAGGATCACTGTTCAGCTGGCTGCTCTGTACCTGTTTTCTTAGAGATCTAACCCATTTTTTTTTTCCCTGGTGGAGGGGAAAGAAAAAAAAAAAAGGCTTTTCTCACAAGCAGGGGCCCTGCAGGGTTACTGGGTAAAATTCCCATTTTATAAGCTTAGTGTCTTTGTTTGAGTGGCTTTAAAATAGGAGTGGCTTCTTTTTCATAAAAAAAAAAGCTGGAGCACAAGAACTATTGACTGGGAGCAAAGCTTTATTTCCAAGGAGAAAATGAAGGCACAATGGATGATGCCTCTATTGTTTCTCCTGTGATGGAGGTGGTTCTTCCTGAGAGCAGCAGCAGCCCTGCTCCTCTCCAGCAGCTCCAAGGCTGCAGCCTCCCCAGGAGCCCCTCCTGCCAGCTGAGGCTGCAGCAGGGGTGCTCAGCCCCCCCCCCATTAAAAGGTCTGCTCCCAATTCCCAGCTGATCACCTGCCCCTGCTGTTCTGGCTGGCAAAGACATGGAGAAAAGCAAAGACCATTGTTTGTCCAACTGGCACCACCCTGGTGAGGCAGGGCTTGGGGTGAGGACCATCACTGCCCTTCTGTGGCCCTTGAGGTAGGTGGAAACATCCAAAACTCCTCCTTTCATTGCTCCATCCACAGTGGGAAGCTAAAGCCAAGCGACCTGCTTCCCAACGCAGCAGGGAATCATCCCTATTCCTTGGGGGAGGGGGGAAAGGGGGAAAAAAAACCCCCAAGCAATCCTACAAACCTAAGAAAAAAAAAAAAAAAAAAAAAAAAAAGGTGTTAAAAAGGCAACACTGGGGCCTGA